GGGAAGTATATTATCTCCCACTCTTTTTTCCATTAAGATAAATACCATACCATCGTGCCTTAAACGCGGGGTCGACGGCTCTCTTTATGTTGACGACTTTCAGATGTGTTACGGATCGACAAGTATGCAGACAATCGAACGTCAGTTGCAGCTTTGTTTGAATTCTATTCAACGATGGGCAACTGACAATGGATTTCGATTTTCGAAATCCAAGACTGTTTGTATGCACTTTTGTCAGCGAAGAGGTTTACATCATGATCCGGAACTTACACTGGATGGAAGCCCCATTCCAGTTGTAGATGAAACAAAATTCTTGGGTTTGATATTTGATAAGAAATTATCATTTATCCCCCACATCAAAACCCTCAAAAAGAAATGTCTGAAAGCCCTCAACATATTGAGAGTCTTATCAAACACTGACTGGGGAGCAGACCGTAAGGTCCTGCTCAGATTATATCGAGCATTAATAAGATCTAAACTCGATTATGGGTGTATTGTGTATGGGTCAGCCCGCGAGTCTTATCTCAAAGAGCTTGACACCATTCACAACCAAGGACTTAGAATCAGTCTAGGAGCATTCCGAACATCTCCAGTGCAGAGTTTATACGTCGAGGCGCACGAGCCCTCATTGCACGACAGACGTGATAAACTTGCACTGCAGTATGCTACAAAAATTGCATCTCTGCCTCATCATATTTCATTTAACACCATATTTAGACCCTATTATGAACATCTATATTTACTGAAAACCAATGTTATTCCATCCTTCGGTATTCGCATTCAACCCCTTTTGTCTCAGGCTGGTATCAGTCAAGACAGTATTGCGAATACCCCTTTCTTCGAGACACCACCATGGTCTATATCTCCCCCCAAGATCGATCTCGATCTTACAAAAAACAAAAAGAAAGATACTAGTTCCACAGTGTTTCAATCTCTCTTCAGAGAGAAAAGGTCTAAATATGGTGATTATGCTCCAATTTATACAGATGGTTCCAAAGATGGCGATCGGGTAGCATCGGCTACTGTCACGCCATCTGAGACCATTTCTGTTCGTCTTCCTCCTGCTGCTTCCATATTTACTGCTGAACTCCAGGCCATCTTTCAGGCTTTGGAGTATATCAAATCCTCTTCATCCTTAAAACACATTATATTTACTGATTCTTTGTCCTCTTTACAGGCAATAAACAATAAGCAGCTTGTACACCCTTTAGTAGCAGACATTTATCGTCTGCTACTATCACACGAGTTTAACAGCAAGGACACTGTCCTTTGCTGGCTCCCCAGTCATGTTGATATTAAAGGGAATGATCAAGCAGACTTAGCTGCCAAGTCTGCTTTAGATCTTCCCATATCACAATTTCTTTTACCTTTCACCGATTTTAAATCGTCCATTAAATTATTTGTATATGACCGCTGGCAACGGTCTTGGGATCTTGCAGACACAAACAAACTTCATCACATTAAGCCTCTCTTAGGAGACTGGCCAAGCTCCTATAGAACCAGCAGGAGAGATGAAGTGGTTTTGTGTCGCTCTCGCATTGGTCATACTTTTTTAACACACATTTTCATCTTAAAGCGAGAGCCTCAACCACAATGTGTTCACTGTCATGTTCCTTTGACAGTGAAACACATCTTGATTGAGTGCAATCATCTCAAACATATTAGATCTAAATATTACCGTTGCCAGTCAGTACGTCAGCTATTTGCTCAACCGGAGCTTTATGATGAATTGCTAGCATTTTTAAAAGAGACAAACTTTTATTCAAAATTTTAATTGTATATATTTATCATATATTGTTTTTTAAATATTTATATATGTAAAGGAATTGATATATTTATTTTTAAGTATATTTTCTGTGATATTTGTTTTTATTTACATATATGAATACATTCCTGTGATATTGTTTTAATTTGTCTCGTTAAATTCACCATATGTTTGGCGCAATATAGCCCGGTTGGAGCTGACGTGCCATTAAACAACATTTCATTTCATTTCATTTCTGATTTGCTGTGATGACACGATTTCTCAAGGCCAAGGTACGGATAAATCGATCCTGGGCTTGAGTTGTCGACCTGAGCGTGGTCTGTCCTGTACAGATTGTGTATCACGGTATCTGGACCATAGCCTGCTTATGACAGACTGAGAAACATTCATCGTCCGCGCCACAACCGCCTGTGTTGTGCCGATCTGTAGCATGCCAAGGGCACGTAACCTTTCATTTTGGGTAAGCCGACGCATATCAAAATTTGTTTTCTGGTCACTAAAACAATTAAACTGATGTTTCCACCCTGGAATTCAATGCAACAATGACTGTAACATTCAAAGTCAGAGTCGTGCAAATCTTGGGTTGGACCCCCATGATGATCCCAAGCATCACCTGCATTCCATGCGGTAGCTATTGGTGCGTTTGGGCGTCACATGTAACTGGAAATGTTTCTTCTGTTAGGTTCTATAGTGACTTTTTTCGTAGTCATTTGCATATTTTAGTATTATGCCCCCAAAATCAAATATCCCCTACTTTTTTTGAATAGTATATATATATATATATCAATAGACGTATGAAGTTAAAACCGTAGTAGTGTTAATATAGAAATAAATAAAGGTTAAAAATGCCTAAAGAAAGTATATACTATTGTTTAATTGTCTACATGTTTCGCCTGAGCTTGTCAAGACATACAATAACAATTACGTGACGTCATGGAAGAATAAACATACAATAATATAATAATATTGAAGTATATAATATATAGCATAATATTGTAATTATTTTGAAATGTTTAATTTGGGTTTAAATTTGTCAATAAAATATTGTTCCTTCAATCTCATTTTCATGGAATCTGAATACGGCATCTTAAAGAAAGGGTATATTTTGAACTCGCCCTTACCGCATATATCAAGGTGTTCACTCAAAGGGATCTTCCTTAAATTTGGTTCCCTGATTTGTTGTCACAGCCACTACATTTTATGACATATAATACATGAGTAACTTTACAGTTCATACTTTCATTGACAAAAAATTCTTTTCCACTGTCAAATATAAATGATTTACCTTCAATTAAATATCTACACGTGCCACAATTATCCCTTCCACATTTTACAACTTCCTTAATTGGACTGAATGATTCAAATTTAGCCCTAGTTAACAATGATTTAAGGTTTTTAGGTTGTCTTTCTGACGGGATAAATGTTTGTGTATCAATAAGTTTTTTTAAATTTTTTATTACGCTGGAAAAATTAGGATTGTGAGGATTAAAGGTGGTGACAAATGCAATTATATTGTGATATGTATCTTTTATCTTTACCTGCCTTAATTCCGTTATCGGTATTTTACTAGCCCTTTAAATTCCGTCATTAATTAATGTTGAGGGATATTTGCGGGCTAGCAGAAATTCTCTCAATTCCTGTAGTCTTTGAAATTTAGTTACTGTGCTAGACACGATGGTACAGAAACGCCTGGCCAAATTATATGGTACAGCCGTTTTTATGTGTTTAGGGTGACACGAATTGAATTCGAGATACTGTTTAGTATCAGTATCTTTATGATATATATCAGATTCAATAATGTCCCCGTTTTTGATTACCATTATGTCTAAAAATGGTATTCTTTCTGTACTAGTTTCCATTGTAAATTGGATATTCGGATGAATATTATTGATTATGTTATAAAATAAAAGGAGATTATTAAATGATTGGAGCCAGATGAAGAAACAATCATCTAAGTATCGCTGCCACTGTTTTTCGAAATATATTCTGGTCTCCTAGTCAAATGTTTCTTCTACTTTCGTAGCAATGGTTAATTCTAAATATCCAAGGACTAGAATTGCCAGCGAGGGTGAGAATTTACTACCCATTGCACAGCCAATAAGTTGTAATATAAATGCTTTACAGCTGTTAATCCTAAAACATGTGGTATATTAGAATAAAGGTTTGTAACATCGAAAGTAACAAGGATGGCGTTTTGTGGGACATTTTGGGGTAAGTTATTCAAAAAATCTACGCTATCTCGAGTATAACTTTTGACATTTTTAATATAAGGTTGAAGTAGGATGTCTATCAAATTGCTTAAACGGTGAGTTTCACATGCTGGACCTGCTATAATTGGTCGGAGTTTCAAATCTTGAGGATGATTCACTTCAATATATGTCGAATTTTGGTTTACATTTGTGAATCTTGGGTAAACCATAAATATTACTGGTTTTCACATTAAACTCTTGTAAGTATTTGATTTCTTTCTCCGTTAAACAGGAACTATGTGTCCATATCAGTCGACGTAGTGCGGTCATATTTCTGGATAGTGGCTGAGAGTTACAGTCTTGGGACTATTCATAAATAATGTCAATCTCGTCTTAGGGACTATTCATAAATAATATATATATATATATATATACTCTTCAAAGAAAGTAGGGGATATTCATAAACAATACAAAAAACTGCGGAAATTCACTGCTGTTTTTATTAGAGGTAATTAGTGTATGTTAATAACGGGCCAATTGCCTACACATGAACATAAACAGTTCACATGGGCGGCTTATCTGACGGTTGCATTTCACCCGCAAAGAGATACACCGTCAAAAGTGAAAATTGACATTTTTCATTTTTGTCTTAATAATGAGTAATTGCTCCACCAATCCTCAGACATTCAGCAATTCGTCGTGGCATGCTCCTAATCAACCGTCCAATCACGATTTGGGGCAAAAAGCAAACATGGATAGATAAACCAGCACGCGGCAGTTTTCATCAACCCTTCCTTGAAGTGTCAAATTTGACAATGAACCCCTCCCACGTGTATGGCGCTATTGCGTGTCGCATGTGCAGCTCAGTTGTTCTGTTGGGGCGATAATTTCTTCATCTGTGAACATTCTCTCAAAGCATGTCAAATGTCCATGACTATTTATCATATCGCAACCTGCATAGATATTTTCATTTCAGTATCCCCTCTTTTTTTTTTGAAGAGGATATATCAACAAGATTATGATTGAATAATGATGAAATTACAAACCAGGACATTGTTGTTGTTGATTACATGCCGTTTTCCTTATTGATTGTCCAGAACAGTTAGTTCCACCATTAGCTGGAGCGGGATTATCACATGTCCTTGTCCAGGTTTTGGTACCTCCACCACATGAAGCAGAACAGGTACCGTATTCAGACCAATTACTCCAACCGCCAGCGATCACTTTAACAGAGTCTGTAACGACAAATGTAATTTTTACTTAGTTGATAATATCTGGTAGCAGGCCCGGAGAGAGAGGGTGGGGGTGGGCATGTCACTTGACACAATGACATACCGTAGTATGGTGATAATATCGAGGTGCAAGCTTGGGAGCAATATTAAAAGGTATGTATTGATGAATTCTTTGTTTGCCAGGCAAAGACACTTACATCCATGGTAACTTATTGTTACGGCTAACCTATTAAGGTTTTTGTTTAATGTTTGCGCACAAACGTGGTATTTATAGGCGTACGAACCGCAAAGAGGTTTGCCAATGATTTAAGCAGTGCAAATGAACAATCAAGAGTCCTCTAAATTCTGAACAGGAATCGGTATTTTAACCAAATATTGTTAATGTTTTTTAGACGAATTACTCCAACCACCAGCGATTGCTCCAACAGCGTCTGTAACGAGAGAGGGGGGGGGGTGGTTTAATGGTATTTCAAATAATTCGCTAGCGCGAGGATTCTTATGCAGTGGGACGACGCCGGAGGAAACCACGCCACTTGACATACCGTAGTATGGCGATAATATAGAGTTGCAAGCTTGATGATATCCATAAATTATGGATTTTACGTGGTAGTTCCTGATCCAGTGTAAGGAGACAATATTCCCTCTGAGACTTACGTATGACTTTGTTTAAATGATCTCTGTCAGCAAGATACAGCTGCCTGTGAATTTCAGGGTGTGACGTTCGCCAGAGTCTTTCTGGCTGACGTCTCCATTGTTTTGCATAATGCACATTTGTATTTAAACTTAACTGTCATATTGCTCTCCTACTACTTAACGGCCTCTCCCAACAAATTTCGACATAGTATTTGCTCTCCGCATAGATCTAGCGTTTTATATGCCTTGACTTACTAGCCAAATATGGAATGGACATGCCTCATACCTTGTATACCATCAGGGATTATTACTTAATTTGGTCAACAGACACATCCCATACCTGTCCATGAAGATGGCATATGACAAATGTGTTTATTAACCTAAAGTTCAATTCATGTATCATATTATCACAGATTTCATTTCATTTCATTTGTTTCACGCGCTGTTTTGCTTGTCTATGCATCTGTAACAATAATTAGTCAAGGCCATAATATTACTATAATGTGTTCTTTTGCACAAATCTCGCCCTAATAGTTTTACAAATGATGAAACTTTTGAAAGGCCCGTAGAAGTACTCTCAAATATGAGGAACCTTATTAAATAAATTAGAAACGTCCTCTGTATTAGGACGTTTCTGTTTATTAATTCTTTCTATGATTGGGTTAAGGGGGGGGGGGGGTGCGGAATCATTGAATTTTCTTTTTTAATTCACCCCTCGTCGTCCCCCGGGTTATTTCCCTGCCTACTAGGGGGAGGACTAGCACGGGGCTCGATGAGGGGTATACTCAAGCCAGAAAGTAAAAAAAACTTATCTAACCTGATTGACTCCAGACATCGCTCTGTAGAATGTACTAAGGACACAAAGGTAAACATGCTGAGTATAAAAACAACAAAGCTTTGGAAATGAAGAATGTACATTCTACAGAGCTAAAACGACCAAATCCGATTGATCAGAGTAGGCCACTCTAAACTCCCGTGTAGGTGAACCATGTGCCAATGTAATGTGTTTCAGAGAAAGGACCAAATCCCCACTCAATTACCAGAATTCCACTCCCAACCGAGACGGGACACAACGCACGGCAGACATGTTACCCCATTGCAGGAATCCTTTTAGTCGCCTTTTACGACATACAGGACATACTAAGGGTATATTCTTATCACCCCCTACACCTTATGGGGTGGACGGGACGAAAACCGAAGTCCCGTCTACACAGGGGCGTACACGTAGAATAACCCTTAAAGGTTGGAATTCGATATAGAAGGCAGTAGTGCAGCTGTCTGGAAAAATTTCCCCATAGCACACTGTATGGCGTATATCCTTCTGGACGGACTTTAAACCCAATTTTATCTCTGTTTAATATAAATAAACTATTGATATTGATGAATGCAAAATGTATTTACCTTCAAAATCACATGCCACTTGACCAGCGTTATTAGATGCTATTAATACATTAAAATGAGGTCAATTTAACAGTAAATAATAAAACACTATGAACACATTAATAAACATACAGTAATAAAGTATGACTATTCGCATTTTATTGGGGAGTCACGATGGCTAAGTGAGTAAGACGCTGGCTCGCTATCATGGAGATTGCGGGTTCGCTCCCGGTGTTAGCCGGGATATTTCATCGGGATTTTACGACGTGGTTACCCCTTGTCGGTTAGGACGAAAAACCGTGTATATATTGGCGTGCAAATAAAAGATCCCTTGACAATTCGATCTCGATATAAGAGTAGGCCATAGTGCCGCTGCCCGGGCACACTGTATTAGCCCAGTATGAAGTTAAACCACATTTCATTTAATTTCTCACCATATTTGTGTGTGACGTAGGAATTAATTGTGTCCGGACCATGTCTATGGCGAATCTTCGGGATGTTTTAATAATATTACGTGAAAACGTTGAACAGTAAAGTTTCTTAAGCTTTTAATTGATACTGAATATGATATATACAAATTTATATATTACATCTATTAAAGACAGATGGAAATGAAATCCTACTCATAGCTTTTATATTTGACACGTAAACCATTCCATATCACAACCCGGTGTTGTTTGGACAGTATATATATATTAGTTGTCCACTGGATAAGTCGGTTTATTTATATAAAATCATTTTATAAAGTATATATTAAAAGTCTTACCCATGAATCCTATCCAGATTACATCATCATAACTGGAGGTCATGTTGTTAAAGACTATCCTAGCTTCTTTTATACTAGTTGAATTGTAGCCTATAAATACACCATCATCGTTACAGGTGTATAGTGGTTGGTTGTCACATGATACAGTTACACTGTTACACGATTCACCATTCAAGTAGATAAAATTAAGATACATGTACATGCCGTCATTGCCGCTACTACTTATATCACAGGAATATGTTATACCTTTAACTAGTGAATCTTTACCACTGTAATACACACTGAATATGTCCTCGTCAGATAGTGTTCTAGTGGTCATGATATCATGGATCCGTTTCTCTGTAAAATATGTTAAAAATGAATGGTTTCATGCTGTACTGAAGAGCAGAAAGTGTCCATATGTGATGTCCAATTTCAGGTGGGAGCCACGATGGCTTAGTGGGTAAGGCGCTAGCGTGTTCGCATTGGCGGATGAAATTCATCGGGATTTTCCGACGTGGCTTCCCCGTGTTAGTAATGCTGGACGGAGGGCCTGCCGAAATACCGAGGTCCCCTGATATCCATTGGCGTGCACGTAAAAGATCCCATGGCACACTGTATGGCGTATGCCCGTCTTCATAACCTATTCGGAGCAGAACAGTAGGTGTGTATTTTTTCCTATAGCCGTCCGTAAGGTGTTGATGATGACCAAGTCGACAACATCGTAAGAGAGGAGCTTACATATGCTGGTTAAGTCTTTGATGTTATTATAATTATACTCTTTGGGATCAAGCATGAAAGTCAGCAGATTAAGATAGAGATGATAATACTTTCGAAAGGCACTGAGGTGTTTTGTATTAGACATGTGTTAAGGGTTTGAATGAATGAATGAAATATGGTTTTAAGGCACGTCAGCTCCAACCGGGCTATATTGCGCCAAACATATGGTGAATCTAACGAGACAAATTAAAACGATATCACATAAATGAATTTATATATGTAAATAAAAACAAATATCACAAAAAATATATTAATTAAGAATAAATATAACAAATCTTTTACATATATAAATATTTAAAAAGATATACATGATTAAATATATACAATTTAAATTGAGAATAAAAATTTGTCTCTTTTAAACATGTAAGCACTTTTATCATATAGCTCCGGTTGGGCAAATAGCTGACGTACTGTCTGGCAACGGTAGTATTTAGATCTAATGTACTTGAGGTGTTTGCACTCAATCAAGATGTGTCTCACTGTCAAAGGAACATGACAGTGAACACATTCCGGTTGAGGCTCTCGATTCAAAGTGAAACTATGAGTTAAAAAAGTATGACCAATGCGAGAGAAACAAAACAACTTCATCCCTCCTGTTGGTTCTATAGGAGTTGGGCCAATCTCCTAGGAGAGGCTTAATGTGATGAAGTTTATTTGTGCCTGCAAGATCCCAAGACCGTTGCCAGCGGTCATAAATAAAATAATTTATATATGATTTAAAATCTTTATATGGTATTAAAAAGGGTGATTGGGGAAGATCTTAAGCAGCTTTGGTAGCAAAATCTGCTTGATCATTCCCCCTTATATCAACGTGACTGGGGAGTCAGCAAAAGACAACGTCTTTGCTACTCACCTCGTAAGATAGTAGCAGACGATAAACATCTGCTACTAATGGGTGTTCAAGCTGTTTATTGTTAATTGCTTAAAGATGAAGAGGATTGTATGAACTCCAAGGCCTGAAGAATAGCCTGGAGCTCAGCTGTAAATATTGAAGCAGCAGGTGGAAGACACACAGAAATGGTCTCAGATGGTATCACGGTAGCCGAAGCTACCCGGTCGCCATCCTTAGAACCATCTGTGTAAATAGGAGCATAATCACCATACTTAGACCTTAACTCTCTAAAGAGAGATTGGAACACCGTAGAGCTAGGAGCATAATCACCATACTTAGACCTTAACTCTCTAAAGAGAGATTGGAACACCGTAGAGCTAGTATCTCTCTTTTTATGTTGAGTAAGATCGAAATCGATCTTTGGGGGAGATATAGCCCACGGTGGAGTCCTAAAGACAGGGGTATTCGCAATACAGTCAAGGCTGATACCAGCCTCAGACAAAAGGGATTGTATGCGAATACCGAATGATGGAATAACATTAGTCTTCGCCAGATATAAATGCTCGTGAAGCGGTCTAAATATGGTGTTAAATGACATGTGATTCGGAAGTGATGCTATTTTCGTAGCATACTGCAGGGCCAGTTTATCACGTCTGTCATGCAGTGAGGGCTCATGCGCCTCGACGTATAAACTGTCCACTAGAGATGTACGAAATGCTCCTAAACTGATTGAAATGCTCCTTAACTGATTGAAATGCTCCTAAACTGATTCCCTGCTTGTGTATGGTGTCGAGCTCTTTGAGATAAGACTGGCGGGCAGACCCATACACAATACACCCATAATCGAGTTTTGATCTTATTAATGCTCGATATAATCTGAGCAAGACCTTACGGCCTGCTCCCCAGTCAGTATTTGATAAGACTCTCAATATGTTGAGGGCTTTCAGACATTTCTTTTTTAGGTTTTTAATGTGGGGGATAAATGATAATTTCTTATCAAATATCAGCCCCAGAAATTTGGTTTCATCCACAACTGGAAGGCGGTTGCCATCCAAGAAAAGTTATGGATCAGGATGCAAACCTCGTTTCTGACAGAAATGCATGCAGACAGTCTTGGATTTCGAAAAACGAAATCCATTTTCGGTTGCCCATTGTTGAAGTGAATTCAAACAAAGCTGCAACTTACGTTCCATTATCCGCATGTCTGTAGAACCATAGCACATCTGAAAGTCATCAACATAAAGAGCGCCGTTTGTACCTGGTTTAAGGCACGCTGGGATAGTATTAATTTTCATCGCAAAAAGAGTTGGAGATAAAATACTTCCCTGTGGAACCCCCATTTCCTGAGGAAATGGGTCAGAGAATATTGATCCCAGTCGTACCTTAAATGACCTATCTTCCAGGAAATTTGTAATGAAGATAGGTAAGCGACCTCTAGGCCGAGGTTATGGAGGTCGCGCATGATACCATATTTCCATGTGGTATCATAAGCTTTCTCCAGATCAAAAAATATTGCAACTAAATGCTGCTTCTGGGTGAAAGCGTCCCTGACGAACGTTTCAAATCGAACGAGATGATCAAGAGTGCTCCTTTGGGACCGAAATCCACAGTAATGAGGTTGTTGGACTCGAGGTACCAAACAAGCCTTCGATTGATCAATCTCTCCATGGTTTTGAAAATACAGCTAGTTAAAGCGATCGGACGATAGTTGGTAGGATTCGTATGATCTTTACCCGGTTTAGGGATGGGAATTATTGTGGCTTCATGCCACGAAGGGGGAAAATTCCCATCAATCCAAATCCGGTTAAAAAGATCCAATAAAATTAAGAGAGTGGAAAAAGGTAAATGTTTTAGAATTTGGTAGTGTATTTCATCTGGACCAGTTGCAGTGTCCCGAGCTCGCTTTAGCGAATCCTGAAGTTCTACAATGGAAAAAGTATCATTGTAGCATTCATCATTGCGGGACTTGAAATTAAGTCGCCTTTTCTCCTGCTGTTGTTTAATGCCTAGGAAGGCATTGGAGGAGAAATTGGATGATGAATTAAATGAAAATGTACTGGCCAGAGATTTAGCAATATCAGGAAATGTTATTAAGGTGGTATTACCAACATTTAGATGATTAACTGATAATGCACTACTTTTACCTTTAATCCTACCCATACCGATTTGGATGTTGTACGGGAATTGATCCTAGAGACGTAACCTTGCCATGAAGACTTATTTGCTTGACGTATGGTTGTACGGGCCTTCGCCCGGACCATCTGGTATGCCGCAATATTCTCCATGGAAGGGTGGCTCTTTAGTCATCTCAGGATACGATCACGCGCTTTCAGAGCGGATTTGCAATCTTCGTTATACCATGGTTTATTGAAACGTTTTGGTGCAGTCGTGGTTTTTGGAATCGCCTGCTCAGCTACATCTTGAAGGATTGAAGTGAATAAGGCCATGGGCTCATCTGCATCTTCTAACTCCTTTGTATCAAAAGAAAAAAGACACAAAGATTCAAATAGAGCCCAGTCAGCCTTATGCAACTTCCACCTCTGGGGTCTTTCGACCGGAGAGGGACCATTATTATCAATTAAAATAGGAAAATGGTCACTACCACATAGATCTCTATTTACTCTCCACGTAAAATCCTGAAACAGGACCGGAGAGCAAATGGTGAGATCCAGGGAAGAAAAAGAAGCTGTGGCAGAATGTAGATAAGTAGGCGAGTCATCATTTAATAAACACAAATTATTAAGGTTAATGAAGTTCGCTATTTGTTTACCTCTGTTGTTGTTGGACTACCCAAGAGGGAATGATAACCATTGAAATCTCCCGTAATTATAAACGGGAGAGGAAGTTGTGCAAAAAGGTCATCAAGATCTCTTGGATTAAGATGCAAACTTGGTGGAAAATAAATAGAACAGAGTGTAATTGGAATATGCAGAGTCACCTTTACAGCAACTCCCTCTAAAGGCGAGTTGAGTGTGACAAATTGTCGGAATTCCTTAAGAAAGTTTCCTGTAAACAAATAGCTAAAGGATTGTACTTTTGTATTAATAGTTGGACTTCATTAAAATTTGGTTTTAAACCACGACAATTCCATTGAATAATGGAATTTACCATCGTCAGGGGTATTTAATTTTTGGCGGCTTACCGTCGGGGTCCTTATGGACATCCGCTACGGTAATACCGTCCATCAGATCATCCCCATATTTATTAAAAGGTGGGATAGGGTTTTGTGAACCTTTTTTACCTCTCGCACGCAACTTTGCCTTTCTTTTGGAAAGAACCTCTTGTTCTTGTGATGGTGGGATACCCTTAGGCTGTGATCCAGATCCAGTAGAACTGGAATCGAGACGTACAGCTCCAGGGGAAGGCGAGGAGGGTGACTCCGTGCCAGATTCAGGCAAGAGAGATGACCCATCTCCTGGCAAAGCAACTGGAATATGAATCGAGCTCTCACTTGTCTGAGAG